TGTGTATGGGGATAATAATATATTGTTTAGAATCTGTGACTATAAGTTATGCCCACTAAATAATAAAAAACGATTTTACTTTATCAAAAATATGTTCACCACGCGGCTGTTATTCATACGGCTTAAAGTTTTTCTCTATAAACTGAAAAATCTAATAATAAAAACGCAAGCTTGATCGTGGAGGCGGTGTGTAATAGGGCAAGGCCGGTCGCAGGTCTTCGGGTATTATTATAACTAAACGTGATACCCCCAAAGTACCTGTAAGGAATAAGTGCACGGTGAAAGGGTTAATGATATTTTCTTAGTTCTTGGTTACAAATCGAAAGTGCTATATATTTATATGTATCTAAATACTACACCGTAGAATAATTTGGAACTATTCGACTAACTTTTGGAAACCTAACTAAACCGTATTTTAAAGTTTCGCAATATATTCATTTTTAAGGCTTTTTCTTCTATTTATTATAGAAAGGAATGAATTTGTTTAATTTTTGGTCTTATCTTAATAGTATCTATTCGTAATTTGTTATGTACTTCCATTGAACACATTTTTTTATGTTTTTTTTTTGTACGCACTTATTTACAAAAATGTGATATAACTAAAAAAACAAAAATAAGTTTAATGGATACAAAAGCAAAATATAATATGTGTACTCATCTCATAAATAAAGTTGATACTCGAGGGTTTCGTAAAAGAAAAAAACTTTAATGTCCTAGTAGAAGAGTAAAAAAAAAAAAATAGAGATCCAGATAGTATTAACTTGTTTTATTGGTCATAAACGCCTATGCCCGGGTCCTTCATAAATGATTTTTCAGTAAAAGTGATGGCCTACATCCCATGCTGTCCACGTTCCTGTTTAGCTTTCCTTTCACGTGTGGGTCTAGTATTCCTCACTCTGCTGTTTAAAAATTAATGGGACGTATTGCATCCCGTCGACTCTATTATATTCGCTGAGCTTAGATTACATTATTGAGACGTAATAACAATAGCCATAATGCACAGGCGTTTCCCACAGTGTGTGCGGTAACATGATTTCTTTCATCGTTAATTTGACTTGCCGCTTTTGGGCATAACGCGATAACAATAGTATGGTAAATTAATTTCAAAAGCGTCCATTAAATCAGAAATTGTATTAAATTTAAAACTACAATTTTTCATTTCGTAAAATGCTGTTTACATAGCTAATCCAACGTTTTCAACTGCTGTCGTTTTCGACGAAAATCAACGGTAATTTAGACAATAAAGAGTAAAAGGTTTTCAAAATTCGAGTTTAACGATTCGTAATAATGTAAAAAAATTAATAGAATTTAATGTTTCTTGGTGGTCTTAGCATTTTCTCAAAGCATTCATTAAGAGTTATTCAAATTGTTTACAGTAAAAGTTTTAACCATTTACTTAAAAATAATAAATAATAATAATAACGAAATACACAAAACGAGTTTGTTCTGTCACTTCTACATAAATAACTTGTATACTCTGCTCTTGATCTTTGACTTGGTAAATATTTTTTTTTTATACTCCCAAGATGGTTTTGTGGCTTACTAACAAATTGCTTCAATTACACTTTGCAAAAGACAACAAAAAAACAACACGTTAATGACCCTACGTAGAATTTTGCATTAGAAATGTCACTATGAAACCTTATCCATTAAGGAGCATTTGCTTAAGTTGTGTATAGAAAAGTATTACACAGAATTAGTGATCCAATTTGATGCTTAAAACTAACAATATACGATTGTAATTTTGTAAAATGATTAATTATTGTGGTATTTGCTATGATTACAAAACATGAAAGCTTTATGATAGTCGTCTTTTTCAAAGGAAAATGAAAAAAATACATTTTGAAGCTAAAAGGATGTTTTGTCACTTTATCGAAGTGTTAATGACATGTTGTTATATTTTATTAAGATAAATTATGTCAATGGAATCAAGCAAAAATAGATTTGGTCAAAATGATAAAATAGTATGATGAATAAGTAAAACTAAGTAAGCTTTATTAGTATAAATGTGTACACTGATCTCAATATTCGACTTAAATATATGCAGGCAATTCTACATTTTAAAACATAATAATATATTATACTTCAACATAAAAAATAAACCTTAAATTATGAAAATATAACAATAGTTTTATTTATTTAAGAAATTTATTGGTGATTTTTTTTCGAAAATATTTTAATGTTTATATTTTATTATGCGAGGTTTGTCAAAAGTCTGATATGCAAATTTGTTTATAAAATTATGCAACACCACAATAGAACGAAAACAAGAGTTATATGTTGTTTTTTATTCGATCACATTTTATTTTTGTAGTTAAATGTTTTCTTCGTCTCAGTTCAAAACTACAACAAAACAGAAACCTACACAATACTTAGTTGTGTTGAAACTATTTCTGAAAATACGTTCTCAGAATAATCTAAATTTAGCAATAAAATGTTTGTGCTTTGACATAAAGTAGAAAAAAAATGTAAAACTTTTTAGCTTTGCCGCTAAGTTTTAGTTTTTTTAGCTTCGATGTGGAACTGAGAAGATATTGAATTTACAACAACTTGTTTTTTTTTTAAACTAATTAATTTTTATAACTATATGATAGCTTTTTAAACGATTTTTTTAAGCAGCCAGTATCAAAGTAGTATGTTGCAAGTCTTCGTCACGAAGCGTTTATTTAAAAGTGATTTCGACATTTTCGGCAGAATATTTGATCAGAACGTAGATGTAGAAAAAATTAAATATTACATGTAATTTTCACTGTAAACAAAAGTAAAATCAATTTTGAGTACAAATATTTAAAATGTCGGAGAGCTTGGTACATAATTTATCATTATATATGCCACTAATAATTTCACAAGACAGGTACGTGTAGGCATGCTCATAATAGATCACGTACGGTGCCTTAAAATAACTTTTGCCAACCCGAATTTGTTGTTGATTATCAAAATTAAATTACTGCACATGATTATGTTATAGGGTTCACCTGAAAATTTACTAAGTAATAATTACTTTTATGAAATTCAACCACACATGACGTGAAACTATATTTTATTACAATTTTCTGGTTCTATTCTGCAAACGGAAAATGGAAGTTGACTATGTTATTTTATTGTATATTTAAATTTTTCTTTATTTATTTACTTACGGGTAGTATTTTTAAACTTTTAAAGTTTCATTTCTTAGAGTTTTTTTATAAATTTGTTGGTACTAGAAAAAAATCATTGGTCATAGATATTTAATTATTGTATTAAATGTTATATCATATATTATATATTATAATATAATAATGTTCATATTATAATTTAAACCTTAGCATTTTTTTAAATAGCTTTTATTTTTATTGTTTGTTTGTGTATTTTAAACAAATACTACATCGAGAAGTTTGACCAAGTCTTTAATATTTGTCGATTTATATACATAAATAACTAGTGACCGCCTAGTTAATAACCAAGGCTAGTTTTTACCGAGCTGGGTTTGTTGATCACTCATTTAGGGGTATTTTCAAAAAAAAAAAAGCTTTAATGCGAATCTGTGGTTGACAGTGATTTAATCAGTTTCAAAATTAATGGCCTAGTGGTCTTCACCATACTTAGCCAACTTCTTACCGTGTAGGTACCCAGAACGGGGTTAAACTGTGCCTATTTTGCGCCAGGTTTATACCCACTGCGCTAATTTAAACAAGTATTGTTTTACCTTTTTTTATTAATGAAAATTTTATTCGAAAAATGTTTGAAGCACAGCCATGCATTGAACGTACACGGCAAAGAGTAGTAATTATTTCTAATTAATATACTAATACTATAATATTAAATAGGTAAGTTTCTGAACCTTTGTATAATTCTGGTGGATATATGTAACACACATTGTTATCTATATGGTGTAGATAATAATTAATAAGTATCATATTGTTGTCATAACAATTATATAATTTACAACAATCGTATTGAGTTAGACAGTAAATAATATGTTGTTAATTTTTATTTTGTAGACTATTTTGAATAACATTATAATTTATACATAAAGACCAATTCTTGTTATCGTCTCTAAGCCATGCTACTCATTTTGTATAGAATAATTTTAAATCATAAATCTCATATACACAGTAAAGAGACAAGCAAACTTTGTTCAATAACCAGTAAATCCTAATTGGCATAGACTATACTATTTCCTGCGTGGATAGTGAGGAAGTAAAGTACTCGTATTTTAAATACTAAGCGGCTTATAAAACACAAGTTCCAGTTATCAAACTTTGGTTAGCTTACTAAATAAATATGTACATTGTTTTTTGATGTCTGTTATGGATTATACTATGTTATATGGATTCAAATATATTTTGGTTCATAGGAAAGTTTAGGAAATGGTATTAACGGTCAAATGTTATTTTCAGTTAAAGTATAAATAATTATATTAATTAGGCGAGATGATTTTTATAATAATGAACAATATCCTATTATTCACATCCAACTCATTTATCAACGTACAAGTATTTTAGATTTGAAGAAGGATGGAGTTTTATGTATACCAGTTATCAAAATCAGATAGAAAGTTATGATTATATTATTATTTTTTAACAAACCAAAAAATTAAACTGTAAAAATGTTTGAATATTAATCATGTTTAATGAACTATATAATTTAAATGATATTATAAGTATATCTATAGTCTCAATACTGGCAAATTACCTTCTGTTCAATTTCAAATATAATATGTGTAAATGGCATGAGAATTATATTTTGACTACTTTTACATTTATGTTTTATAAATTTATATTCTATAATATATATTATCTTAAAACAAATTAGCTGCGTATGAAATTAAAATTGTGCGTTTCGTCGATTTTAAATTGCTAGAATAACAAAAATTTGCTTTTTTGTTATGAAAATCTCATTTTTTACAGCAAGCCTTTCGTCGTCCATCATTGGACGGCGGCGATTACTATGTAATAAATAATAACTAAATAACTGTATTCATCCGACAATAAAATATAATATTATGATATCATGCTTACTGTTGATATGTATACGTTATGCATCGTCATCGGCGCGCTGTCATGCCGGATTCGACAGCCGTATAAATCCGTAAAACCGAAGAACCGAGTTGAATATTTCTCCAGCCGATTAATAATTTCAATAGTATATCGTTTTATCGAGACCGGCAAAAAAACCTACCGCGATAGTCGATAGAAAAACGTCAAGCCGGCGCACAATAATTATGGTAATATTATTTTATAAAATAAAAAAAAATACTGTTGATGTTGGCGCGTATGAAAGTGGACTAGTGTGTGGGTATATAAAGACGTTTGTGTGTTTTGTGTTTATGTATGCCTGTGTGTGTTTAGGTACATAGGAAAAGTCGAACGTACCAAAAAAAAAAAAACAATAGGGAAAAAACGGAGAGCACAACCTCGTGGACGGTCCCGTCGAAACTGATGTACCGGCGGCGTTGGGCTTGGCGGCGATATTTGCACGCGGTCTCGCGTGTCGCCACTTTTCTCTTGGCGTGTGCGTGCGGCGACCGTGGCAGCGACGACGGCGGCGGTGGTAGCTGATTCTCTCTGGTCATCCGATATATCCTACCCCACGGATATTTCAGAGATCCCCAGCTCAGCTCTGAGTACTTCCCGGTGATATTGCTATTGCCGTTTGATTAACGTGCGAAATTTGAAAAAAAAAAAAAACATTCAAAATTTAAAAGATTCTACGCCTTCGGAAAATCCTACCCTTCGTATTTCGTGATAACGTTTTTTTCCAGCAAGTTACCAGAGCCTAAAGTCTTAGTATGTGTACGGTAGGACAAAAACGATGGTGGGCTATCGATAGTTTTATATAGTGGTAATTCTACATGATTATGATAATAGCATGTCGATACGGAAAGTATAATGGCTGCCGGCTTCAGGTTTTCGGCCATCTTCTTAAGGCTACACCACTGTAATGTCGTATCTATACGTGGATATTTTTAGCTGTGTACAGATATAACATAAAATACTGAATAAACTTTACAAAATGCCCGTCTCTTTTTTTGTTTACGTTGAAATTGACCCTTCTGCTTTCATCTATTCTGTGATTATACGGACCTGCTATATGTATATACTATGGCTGTAAATTGTTAAAAACACTTTTCACCGATAAACATCGAGAGATTTATTTTGAAGTGCTGTGTTTCTTTGGGAATCTTTTTTTCTGAATCGTAAGACATTTTGATTAGTTTTTTTTTAACACAAAATCTCAATTTCTCATGTTATAATCAAATGAAAATAAAAAATGCACAAAAGTACTAAGAGTTAAGCTAAGGATTTGAAATTTTTTTTTACTAGTCTTCTATTGGTTATAGGGGAGAGGGGAAAAGTAAGCAAAAAAACTATTTTTTTTAAACACAAATCTATTTATAGTTTTGCAAGCCCGTTTTTTTATGTAACATATAATATTTACATATTTATATAAGTACTAACGATATCGATAACTCGCGTCGTTCGGCATATCTCCATCGAACACGTTTGGTTTTAGTAGATGTAATCCATAATGAATTCGGAGTAGAACGCAGACACTTTCCCAAATTAAAACTTTTCATAAAATTGTTAACGATTTCAACGAACCGAAACTTTTTAATATCAGAAAAAGTAAAACAACTAAACGATTACCTGGTAAAACACCTAATGTATAATATATTTTTGCAAATATAAATTTTTACTTAAATCCTTTAAAAGTCTGATAATAGAAACCTATTCGTGTTGTTCATCACCAATTTTATGTTAGTTTTTATTTGAAATAGTTTTGAGTAGTATACAAAAATGTCTCGCCAAATAAACTAAAACGGTAAATGTGTTTTTGAAAAGTTTTATGTTTTTATGAATAGTTGGTGAAATATTTGAACAAGTTTGAAAACATGACATTTTACAGCTCTAAAAATCATACCGTCGTGTTAAGAATAAAACATTATTTTCTCAACGTCAAAATAATAAGTAAGAAACAAGTTAAACTTACAACTAATAAAGCCAACGAATGTACCGATTTAAAATTTTAAAGTAGACTATAACTAAATGATTTTATACTGAATAGAATTCGGTATACACTTTTTTTAAAACTCGGTTTCTATTGAATTCGTTTTTAGCATTTCTCCGGTGTAAGATAATAATTATTTAGTATAAAGAAATGTTGTTAACATAATTTTTACTTTACAAACAGCTATACGTTTATAATTATATTATATTAGATATATATTTAATAGTTTTATGTGAAATTCTAAGAAAAATAATAAATCCTTATCTAAATTTATCTTACATGTACGTACCTATATAAAATAGAGAAGTTATATTTTAAAAATCTTTCAAAAATACCACTTAAGCATTGTTTTATCCTGAACTCTTATACATTTTCAATATCTTGGGTTTTTTTCTTTTCAAAACTTATCAGCTATGTAATATTATCATAAATGGCACATTATGTTTTGTATGGTTAGGGCGTAAACATCGTACACGCGGCTCGACCCCGAAGAGTAATTTGAGATTTTCACTGCGAATATAGAATAAAGAAAATGGAAAACAATTTACGTTCAAACTACTGTAGTTGGCTACATTGTTACGATAACAACAAGAGAATGAACTATTTTTATTGGATCGTTTATCTTTACATTTTCTTAGGATTTATGTAAAAAAATGTAAAGCTTATTTATTCACCACATTGATGCGACGTTCGGAGCGACAGGATAGTAATTTTGACCTCAAAGTTGTTAAATTGTCTTATTCGGCACCAATTGTAATACTTAATATTATCATTAATCTTCGAAGAAATTTGTTGAGTATAGAATATAATATATCCCGTGACTCAAAATTAGGAAACGACACGAACAAAAATATTACTTTTAAGAGAGAACTACTAATTTATTAAAGTAATAATATAATAAGATGTTTGAACTGGGATAGTCAGATGACACAGCACTGTACCTAACCGATGAAAAGGCGGTAATATGTAATAATAATAAACTGTGTTAATAATAACACAGTTTGTAAGAACCGTAATACAAAAATACATTATTATTATTTCATTAATAGTCAAATTGTTTGTAGCTAAAAACATTTTTTTTTTAAAGCATTTTTAACATTCAAATAATGTTTTATTATAATCGGCTTTCTGGAAGTATTATACAAAATTTAACTTAGTATACGTTTTCCATTAAATAATGAATTCAGTTTTATTTCAATATTGCTTCTTCTTATTTTCAATCTTGTTCAAACGATTAATGTGTATTTTACCGTTAATTAGTTGAAAGAGTTTTTAAGCTCAGAAATTAGGTGATAACAGTTGTGTGTGTTTATTGTGGTTTTATTAGAAATACAATTATAGTCAAAAAATATGTACGCTTATGAATCCACGAATATGAGTGTAATGTGTGTTTATAGAATTGTATAATACGCAGACATTTTTTTATTAAAAAACCCACAGAGACGTAAGATGAGTTGAATATTAAATGAGTGAAAACGTACATTGCAAATGTCTGGTTTTATAGAATGCATATTAAAAAAATAATAACAAGATTAAAATTATTAAACAAATTATTGTTATTAAAAGCAAAATGTATAATAATATTTTAATTATTAGATTAATTGAAAAAACACCATGATCCAAGACATATTTGTAAGTAAATTATTTTCAAAACTTATATAATTTTTTTTTTAAATTTTAAACGTATATTTTTGACCTTAAAACAAAACGTTCAAACATCCCTGAGACTCTCGGACTGAGAGGCTTTTGAATAAGTCTAGCCTCACTAGCGGTAGTGCAAGGTACGATTATTGTTTTAATAATTCCAATGGAATTGGAAAATCTGTTGGCTATTTCCAATTTTTTTTTTATACATGAACTTTGATCCGAAGGCAGCTCATGGTTGTCACCTACACCAGCTGAACTAGTGTGTAAAGTATTTTGTTTGATCTCCTTACAAGTAATTAAGAACATAGTTAAACATGCGCTTAGCAAGAAAAATAAAATAACAGATTTTCCTCCGGCAATACCAGACATCTTATTTTGCCATATCTAGAGGCTACATAATAATAATAATAATAATAATAATACTATGATAATGTATATTATTATTTTGTCCTCCAGCGTTGTTCGCTACTTCGTTTACTTTTTACCTCGAGTCGGATAAAAACGACCGATTACGCGTGTGTACCTATATTGTCTACTTAACGCGCCGTGCTATAATATTTTACATAAACACGACGTTTTCCGTCTTCTTCTGTCCCGTGCCGATAACGTCTGTGCACAGTAAAATCAATTTATTCCCAAGAAGACGTGCCAGCGAAAATTTGTTATAATACTCGCGAGAAAAAAAAAAAGCTTATATTCCTAAAAAAAAAAATGATAATTTTTTTGTTAACACTTAGAATGATAAAAAAGATTCTGTTTAAAACAAAATAACAGAGAGGTACAATTGATCTTAGAAAGATGAAAAAATGCAATTTGTAACCAGAAGTCATGAGAATTTATCAAAAATTTACGATAGAATTTTATTTGTTTTTACTTAAACGGGTGATTTGGTTTATACTAAAAAAACAGTAATCTTATGATATCACCATTCGAGTGTTTAGAATAATAATCAGTTATTGAATACCTACTACGGTTAAAAATACTATCTAAACAGATATATATATATATATATATATATATATTATAAATATACACTTTATACACTAAGATAAAATGTATTCTTTAACTTCACACATTTTTTTTAAATACCATAAAACACCATGCATGATAACATAGAATGGTTTGAAGATAATTTGTTTCGATCCATTAATAATACATAAAAGTATACTTCTTATAGGACGAACGTAATGCGTCCTAATAATGCACACCGCACAAATTAATTAATCATCAAAAATGATTGCGCTTTATCTGGTTACTAAAATATGCGTTTTTCTATCTGAGTGCTTGACGTTAGCGGTTTTTTAATAGCCATTTTACTCGCTTAAGCTTATCATTCATTAGGCCGTTTGTAATATACCTACCGTATAAACGCTAAATGTCGCCGACACCTGTGTTAAAGACGCTGTTCGAAATCCTACGCCGTATCACTTTGGCGAATGCATATTTACTAATTTACCAAAATAATAGTCTGCTTTATAATAGATGTGTAACTACGTTTGCAACGGCTTTCTTATCTTTATTTCTCAACGTCAAGCCGCTTATACAAGCCAATTATATCGTTTCTACTATTCGTGCAGTCGAAACATTTTATCTCGGCCAAAATACAAAGATACCACCAAAAATGTATAATTATTATTATTTATATTTTCAATTTAAATATTACTTGAAGGCGCGCACTTATAAGTTAAAAATCACTTCTTGAGTAATTTTGTAAGACCATATTTTACAAAGAAGATAATAACTATTGTTAACTGCAA